GGTATTTTTCAAAAATTGGCTTTTTAAAAATTGCCCTAACTTGAAAATTTGACCTTAGAATCGACTCAAAAAGGCTGAGAATAGTACCAAGAGTAGATACATGTGTATTATAGTACTCTTGATAGTACACAGTAAAGGAATGGACTTATTATCTACTCATGTATTAGTTTAATTTATGTACTTGTATGTAGTGAGGCACTGAGACAACATTCCAGTTTAATACTATCAGAGGATTCAATGAATGCTATATTTTATGAAGAGAGCAGCAGCGAAGAGGAGGAGGAGGAGGAGGAGAGAGAGGGAGCACCTCCTAGTGACACTCCAGCTGCTGTCACTGAAGAAGAATCATGGGACTAGAGCATAATATAACCATAATGTATATGTATGTATTTTATTTTAAACTGTACATAATAATAATAATAGATAGATAGATAGATAGATAGATAGAAGCAAGAATATGTAAATATTACATATATTCTTGGTAAGTTAATAGTATCTGTTGAAATGTATTACCGGTAAATTAATTTTGCTCATTCCTCCTCTATGGTCAGTATCCCTCACTAATAGAGCATCTCCTACGTCTCAAAATGACTCCATCCAGACCTCAGGTACTACGAGAACTGAGTTATGATTACATGAACAGAGAGATCATTTGGTTTGGGTTTTCCGAGTTTCTTTTCTCCGTGTTACCACTACTCAATCTACAATCGTTAAAGAACTCTTATAATAAGATCCTTCATAGTTTGGTTGGTGATAGAGAGACAGCAGTAGCTCCTAATGTGTGTGTGTATTGTAATGGAGTACCAGTACTACCTCAAGTATCAACTTGTAGACATTTATTTTGTTATTATTGTATTGCTGCTAATGTACTAGCTGACTCTAACTTTCCCTGTCCTGTATGTAATGAAAGAGTGAACGATTTCACTCATTATAATGTATGACATTGTTTGTATTATAGGCACATGTACATGAATATAATTATTATTAACTTTCTCTAATATGAATAAATTTTTTGAAATCAAACGATTTAAAATGTAATAAAATTATTGTAAAAAAGAAATGTAGCATTATATTAATAGCAGATCAATAATTTCTGATCTTTTTAGCCACTTCCTCTTGTCCAATGTTATGCATCGCTTTGGCAAGTGATGCCCATGATTTGTCTTGTTGCTTGCTACTGTCTTCTCTTTTCAGCCAGGTATGCAGACACTTTTCAAAGCGATCTCTTAAAGTTTCATTTTCTTCATCGATATCATCAAGTATAGAATCCTCAAGTCCCAGTTGACGGCCAAGACTTTTCCACTCGTGATCAGGGAAATGATTTTGTCTCAATGTTTCAGTAACATAATTCAAATCTCTAGGTTCTATAAATAATAAATGATTAAAATATAATATTCAGCATAAAAAAATTACTTACTCAGTTCTCTCTTTTTTTCTCCTCTTACATTAAGAGGTCCTGTTCTTGGATAACGAAAATTTCCTCCATCTCCTGCCTATTAAATGAGAGAGAGCTGTTAAACACAAGTTACATTGCTGATGCATATTTACCTTGTCATTTGGTTCATCCCCACCAAAAATTGAAAGATTTGCATAATCTGGTTCATTGGGCAGCACATCACAAACTTGCTTTCCCTGTGATTCTGATGTTTCTGGTGTTGGGTTGATGAAATCCTGTTTCCCCAATTTTATAAAGTTTTCGACACAATACACTACTCTTGTTCTTGGTTTATCAATAGGGTACTTCAAATTATCAGGATCAATGACAAATGCTTCTGTATCAAGAGTAGGACAATATTTTCCACGAATAGCCAAAACATCATTGATCAACCGTCTTCTCAGCATAACCATCTTTGATTTTTTTGCCCCTTTTCCACATGACATTAAAACTATAACACATTGATTTTCATCAACAAGCTCTAGCAATGTAGTGATGCCATTCCTATTAGACCATTTTAAGCCATTCTTCCAAAATGAGCACTGGAATTTTCTGTGTCCAGATCTGGAAGCTTCTTCAACTGCATATTTCATAGAAAAGTGCAATAATAGAGAATTGAAGAACCGTTGTGGAAATAAATCATGAACATTTGTACATTTTAGGTACCATCCAAATACAAACTCATGAGGTATAACTGGCCTTTTTATGGTCACAGATGATGGGAAAAATAGACATAATATGTCTTTTAGTTTAATTTGACCCTTTTCCACAAGATTGGTTTGTATCAAGAAAAACGGAGACACCATATGGCATAGTCCCATGTCTTCCAAAAAACTAATTAGCATTACAGGATCGTATTCTGGAAACTTGTTTTCAAGTTTGGAAACAGTAATGATGCCATTATCAGAAATTTCGCTTTCTTCAAATGGTGAAAAAAGGATACCATCTACATGTTGCAAAAATACTTGCTTATTTTTAACGACCCATATCCTGCAATTTGTAGCAACTTGAATATATGTATTATCATGCATCCATACTTCTGCATTGTCATCTTCACAATTGAGGTAGTAAATTAAACCAGTTGAATGCAATGAAGACAGTATACCAAGGATCTGTTTACCATCATGAGTGGGTAGAAAAAATTGATCATCTTTTTCTACTGCATCCTCAGCTATGTCATTTAAAGCTAAGATATCTTTTTCACTTTCTTGAAGTAATTTGTACATCATGTGGCAATACAATGTTAGTGATTTTTTATTGCTATCACGAATATAGCTACAGGCACTCTGTAAATTTTTGAGAAATGAAGTTAAGTCGACACCAGAAAGCCTACGGCAATCTAAATATACAATAACATCATCATTTCTAGGAAGTTCCTTCTTTATTTTTATAGTTGTCTCTTTCTCTGCATCAGAATTTAAACAATCAATATGACTTGCAACTACAATTACTTTGCAATCACCTTTTGCTTTTTGTATTTCGTTCCTAACAACTGCAAGCCATTGCTTAAGGTGTATTAAATAATCACTGTTTGATACATCTACTACAATGATAAAAACAGCAGCAGATCCTTGTAGGATATTCTCAATAACAGCAGTGTGACTTAGGTAGTACTGCGATTGGCCAGCAAAGTCATGGAGAACAATATTTTGAAGCTGATGGTGCCTTTTAAGGTTAATGGGAACAATACCTGCAGTAAGTGGTTTAATTTCATTTTCATCGATGTATCTTGTTAAATTAGGTATAGGACTACCAGTCTTTTCAATGACCTTACTAAGTGTACTCTTTCCGGCTCCACTGTTTCCTACTATGAGAACATTCACGTAAGAATCAACAGGATACATTGTTTTTGTTTTAGCAAATGCTTCAAAAAAAAATTTGGTTGCCTTCTTAGTTTTACTCCTACCAGCAATGGCCATTGGAGTGTCCCCTTTTTTATCTCTTTTCAGAGGATCGAGTCCAGCAGCAAGAAGACTTTGTACAACCAGCAAACCATTCATACTATATATATCTTCTGCAGCGTAATGCAATAGTGTTCTTCATTTGCTATCTATAGTAGTTGGATCAACTTTACAATCAGTAATCAAAAAGTCCACTTTGAGATAGCTACGTGAACGAGTTGCTTCAAATAATTTTTTAAATAAATCCTCTTTTTTACCCCATTGATCCACAAGGTATTTGACAGCATGGGTGTGTTTTTCTTTAATTGCTGCATCCAGGCAGATACTATATTCTGAATTTTTGCTGCAATTTTTACCCAAGAATTCTAATACATCCATGTTTCCTTGTTCTGCAGCATACTGAAGTGCAGACTCAGCATCACAACTGCATTCTAAAACAAAGTATTTAACTAGCTCAAAGTGTTGATTCTTTGTAGCATACTGAAGAGGAGTTGAACCACGGGTATCATGCCCCTCATGTACATCACATTTGCAATCTGAAATTAAATACTTAACTACATCAATGTGGCCTTTCTCTGATGCATGATGAAGAGGCTTCTTTGGGTCCTCTCGCTGCCACCGATTTTTTGTCTTGTTGGGGTCACATTCGCATTCTGAGATTAAATATTTCACAATATCAATATGCCCAGATCTAGCTGCAAGGTCAAGAGCACTATTGCCTTCTGAGCTACAAATTTGAACATTAAAATTGCATTCTTTTATGAGGTGCTTTAATATATAAATATGACCATGTTCTGCAGCAATAATGCCAAGTGACTTACCATTATAAGTAGTATTGCCATCACAGCCAAGTGGCAATGTCTTGTAATATTTAACGATTTCAATGGAGCCAGATTCAATTGCAAATAGTAGTGGGGTTTCACCTTTTGAATTTCTGCACATGGGATCGCAATTGTGATTTGCAACTAGAATTTTGAATGCTTCATATTCAGCATGTTTAGCAGCGTAGTGAACAGCTGTTTGATTAATTGTATCAACTGATGCAGGATCAAAGCCATACTTTTTAATTAGTATGCCAATTACATTAACCCATCCATGTTTTGAAGCATGATGTAGCAAGTTTGCTTTATGCTGCTTTTCTGAACTAACTGCTGCCTTTAATGTTTCAGTCTCAGCTTCAAATAATGCTATTAGTGCAAGGAAAAAAATTCCAACTTCAAAAACACGACTGATATCATCTGGAGACAAATCACGAGCCTCTTCTTCACTTTCTTTGGGTTCTTCATCAACTTCAGGAGGATAACTTCTTCGATGATACTTTACGTAGTTAAAAACTTGTTCACAAAATTGTTGCAAATGTGGTGATGAGCTTGGTGGCGCTGGTGCAAATCGACTACTTAATTCCTGATCAAGCAAAATTGTAGCCGCTACATTAATGCTAACTGATTCTAAGCCTTCTGTCATCTTTCCAATTGTAGTATAAGAAAGATCTGGAGGTATAGATACTAATGGAAAGGGCAGTGGATCTACTTCTCCAGCAGTGTTGATTGATTCTATAAAATAACAGGCATTTCAAACTTTTCATACAAGGCTTTTTCATCAGTACCTGAAGCAGTTTGGGTGTCATTTCTTTCCTTTTCTTTTTGACTTTCATATGCTCTTTTTCTACCTATTATACATAGTATCAAATAAAATTTTAGGCTGTGTCTACAGCTCCGGTAACCGGACGTAGTTTGCAATGCTAGAGCTCCGGCAGTCCGTTTTTCTCCGTAAAACAGCTTGTGCGCATGCGCAATAGTGCAAAATGGAACTTAGTCTTTTTATCAAGAAACACTAAACCCTAACCCCAAAACCCTACGATCCCGGAGGCTAAGATGTACGAGAGGGTGCTCTAAAAACTAAACACTAAACCCCAATCCCAACCCTACGACCCCGGAGGCTAAGATGTACGAGAGGGTGCTCTAAAAACTAAACACTAAACCCCAATCCCAACCCTACGACCCCGGAGGCTAAGATGTACGAGAGGGTGCTATTTCTTGACCCAAAAAAAGCCAAGAAGAAAAAAATTGCAAAAAAAAGACATAAAAAAAAAAGAAAAAAATCAAAAACTGCAGCATAGTTTTACTCGGTAGTCCTGACCGGATTCGAACCCCTGACCCTATCCGTGCAATCCACACCAGCCTCTCCACTGCACCACCACGACCCTGCTGCATCATCAACGCTGGTTGTTGTATTTATACTCGGTTTCTATAATATAAATCAGTGTATTATTAATACTGCACTGGGGCGTAGCCCCAGTATATATATAGGGGCGACGCCCCTATTACCGGAGCTCTAGCACTGCATACTGTGTCCGGTTACCGGAGCTCTAGACACTTCCAAAATTTTAACATTAAAGTAATTTGTACTGACTTTGTAACTTGTCCTTTAGCTTCACAACAATATCACTTAATTCCACATATTCTAATGATTCAATTAATGAATAAAAGCAGGCAGGATTGCTTTCAACTTTTGCTAGTACTGGAGTAAGCATGTCATTACATCTGTCATAAGGAGTAGCTCTAGGCCCAGGATTTTGAACTGCAATAAATACTGCTTTGGGAATGAGGTTAGATGAAAATAGGTCATCGTTTAGTGGGGGAATAACAGGAGCATTGTCAGCTACATTATTAACAAGAGCACCGAACATTTTTTTTAGTGCAGCATATTCTGGTGATGATTCTGATCCTGTAGCCATTGCACCTCATATGACACCGCTCTTATATTGTCTTCAGTGATGGGCCAGTGGTGGCGGTGTTTACAGTTGACCAGCATAGAGGCTGATTACGGTGAACAATCTATTATTATTTCTGCTGAAAAGAATCTATTAATAGTAACAAATGTCCAGTCTATTAATAGTATCTGCCAATATTTACTTAATAAGGTACAAGGAAAGAAAAACTTCATTGCAATCAGTGTTTTTATAAGCTCATAACTGTCATAAGTTCCTAAGAGTACGCCGGCATAATTGCATCATAGATATTATACGTACATGGATTGGAAACAGGGCAAGACCGGATGGTCACATGCTCTTTTCGCAGGAAGTGACATCATTACCCACGTGGAAAAAATATTGTGACAGTATTATTTGAAGGCTGAAGCATTAAGCAAGTACCTTTAAGACTGTTCTGGAAATATTCTCAACATGAGAATTTTAATTTAAACTCCAAAGGTGAAGGAAACAAAGGAGAGGAAATATAAAAGAGAGAAAATATACATACCAATAATATTTGAAATTTAATTTTATTAAAAATAACTATGTATTATTAATATCACTGAGGTGTTGTTGATGACTTCGTAGAATTCCTTGATGACATGCCACAAACAAGTAGATTCAATTATTAATGATGATTACAGTCTGCTGATGACTCATGCTCCTGGTTTTCTCGATATGGTAGACAGTGCATGCAAAGGTATTTTGTTCCTACCATTAAACCATATAACAGATGAAATTGATCCTAGTATGACATAAATCAATACAAAATGCTTTTTAGTAGATGATCAACTTAAGACTTACTTCAATTGGCAGTAAAACACCACCTTCAATAATTTTTAACCTCCTGTCTCCTTCCAATTCACTTCATAATTTCTCCTATTTGAAGACATCTATTGAACAAAACGACATCACTAGTACACAAGTACATTCTTAAACATTATGTCTAAATCAAGAAATATCCATCATATACACTTGATTGGCCTAAAATGTGCCCACCATGGGGTACACATAACAAACATTAAAAAGCTAATAACTTTAAAACCCTTCCTTATTTAATCAAAATGCCAAGTTTAGTACATGCAGACTCATATAGATCACATCTTTTCAAAAATTCAAAGTAATTCTATGCTTAGTTTTTAAGAAAATGTGCCCACAAGGTGTTAAAAGACATAAATTTACATCTTTGTGAGTATTGTGGGAGATGATAGCACGCAATTTATATACTTAGCTTTTTAATACAATACTAGTTACTTGGGAAACACAGTAAAGCAACAATTGGATTCAAATCTGTCCAAGGTAAAACACTAACTGACGATAACTACCAACTCCTAGCCGCCATCTCCCGAAAAACTAACAGGAAGTGACGTTTCAGGAGTTTTTAATATTGGCTTCCTGTGATGTTTCCAATCCAGTACGTATAATATCTATGATTGCATGCAATGTAGTCTAAAATGCTACAACAAGCCTTATAAGGAATTTATAAAGCTAATTTAAATACATGTTGCTCAGGTAGACCATTTCTCCAGCCTAGACTAGCTAAGTCATTATAGGCTGAGCCTGGAATGGTCTGGCTAGCAAGGCTATGAAGGATATTTCTATTAGCATTATGGAAGGGCTGACTAAAACATTTCTACTTAAAAACTTGCATGTCCACACGTGTTTTCACGTGTATCTAGAATACGGACAAATCCTATTGCATGAATGATGGATGATCTGGAGGACGCCTCTGCTGCTGCTACTGTTTTATTCAGGCCACCTGTATACCAGCAACGTTATGGAGCCGTACTGGAACTATCTAGAAAAACAGAACCAAAGAAAGTAAATAATAGCATTAATTTTTACTACTGCTATTAGCAACATTTATGAATTAAAAATTTTCAAGAAACTTCACCTTCTCAATGCCGACAGGTAATAGACATGGGTTGTGCTGAATGCAAGCTTCTCAGATCATTAAAGTTTCACAGACACATTGAATCACTTATCGGTATTGATATAAATGAGTCTTTACTTCAATCAAATCAGAACTCACTCCAACCACTCATCACTGATTATCTACATAGACGCAGTAAACCATTGAAAATACAATTATTTAAAGGTAATGAGAGAGAGAATAAAGTTATGGAAATTAAGAAGAACTGTAACCTTCCGCCATTTTATTTTTGCATGTGTATTTCATCATTCCACGCATTCTTATTGATTAGTGGGAAAAGGCTATAATTATGTATTGTTGTTGCAATTGTTATTATTATTATTATTATTATTATTATTATTATTATTATTATTATTACTATTATTACTATTATTATTACTATTATTATTATTATTATTATTATTATTATTATTATCTGACTGCACCTGTGGTCAACATTTCTCCTTGGACCATGTTTTATCATGCCCTGCTGGTGGTTTTCCATCTATCCGCCATAACGAGGTTCGTGACATCACCGCCACATTATTATCTGAGGTCTGTGCTAACGTGAG